GGCCTGGTCCCCCACAACTGCCCTCTCTTCAGACTGGCCTAATCACCCACAACTACCCTCCCCTGCTGGTCTGGATCCCCCAACTTCCCTCCTCTGCTAGCCCAGTCACCCCTAACTGCCCTCCCCTGCAGGCTATCTTGTGTTGGCCATCTTTGACCACATGGGGGCGGCCATCTTGTGCGAGGGTGTGAGGGTCAATATGCATATTACCTCTTTATTATACAGGATTAACCAGAGGCCTAGCGCACAAAATTTGTGCATTCACGGGGATCCCTCAGCCTAGCCTGCACCCTCTGGAAATCTGGGATCCCTCGGGAAATGGGGAGCTTAGGCCCACTCCCCATCAGTTGGGCATTCTTAGTGCTGCCGCAGAGGTGGGAGCGGCTCCCACCACTGTTGATGTACTTGCTGCCTGGTTCAGGGCTTCTGGCTGAGCAGCGCTCCCCCTGTGGGAGCACATTGACCACAAAGGGGCAGCTCCTGTGTTGAACACCTGCCCCTGGTGGTCAATGCATGTCATAGCGACGGGTTGTTCTGCTGTTCAGTCGATTTGCATATTAGCCTTTTATTATATAGGTTTATCGTATTATTTATATTTACAAACACCTTTAAACCTACTTTTGTTCCCTGCATATTCTCTTAATAGGTCAGAAGATTCAATATTGTTAAAATGTCAGTTATCCCCAAATTGATCTATTGTTCAAAGCTATCTCAACCAAAATCCCAACTGGAGGTTTGATAGAAATTGACAAGCTGATTCTAAAATTCATATGGTGCTCGTGTTCTCCAAGGTGCCTCCCACTATTAGGCCCACTGGTATTTATACTCTTAATTTTGCTCTTTGGCACCTGCCTCATGTGCTGTTTTACTAGTCTCTTGCAGAACAGAATGCAGGCGTTCGCCAACCAGAAGGTGGGAGAGATCTATCTGGAACTGAATTCAGAACTTAACACCAAAATCCTTGAGACCCCAAGTAGACGCACCAAACGATGCCCCCTCTCAGCTAGAAGCAGTTACGGTAGACCTCCAGCCCCTGACCCCCTGCCTGGACTCTCAATATTTTAAATATAATATAGCAAAGAGTCTGGAATTTGAGATCCTCCCTCCCCCCAACTAGTGGGCGGAGTTATGACATTACTGGCATCTGCTACAGAGACATCCCCAAGACATTGAACCACCAATCAGCACGTGCCAAAGTGCCCTGGAGCCTACCCCTTCCTGTTTCACCCTGGGTCCAACCCATTCCTGTTCCTCCCCTCAAAAGGCTCCCCCAGCCCTCCACATGCTGCTCTCTCTATCTCTGTCTCTGAAGGCAGCCCAGCTAGGTCCTTTCTCCTCTCCCCACCCCTTTAATTCTGATTTCCCTGCCTCCATAATGAGTCCACTCATTTATTCCCTATAAGGGGAATAAACCTTTCTTTAATATGTAAAAATAAAATAAAAATAAAATAAAAATAAAATAAAATTCATATGGAAAAACATGAATAATAACCAAAAATAACCTTGCAAATAATAATGTTAGAGGACTCACACTGTCTGATTCAAGACATTATAAAGCTATAGCAATGTATAGAAAATGTAAGTTAAACATATACTTATCACATGATCCAGCTATCCCACTCCTAGGTATTTATCCAAGAGAAAAGCAACAGTTGTACATGAATGCTGATAGCAGCTTTATTTCTAATAGCCCAAATCTGGAAATAACCCAAATTTTCATCAACAGGTAAATGGATAAGCAAATTGATATAATCATATTGTGGAATACTAATTGACAATAAAGAGTAATTACTATTGATATATATAACATGGATGGATCTCAAATAATTATAGTAAGTGAAAGAAGCCAGACATCCTCAAAAGAATACATGTGCAGATTCCATTTAGATAAAACTGGCACAAAATCCGTTCACATTAAAAGGGAATTAGAGGAAATATTTTAATATTGCTATTTGCCCTTTCTCTGTAATTGAAGTGTCAGAAATGAAAGAAAATTAGTAAAATGTATATGAAAATCTCCCTCCTGTCAGAGTCTGGAACATGCCATGGAACCCAGAGTCAAGTCCTGACCCACCCACATGTGCCTCAAAATCGTGCAAGACCCAGCCCCAGCCAGACCCACCCCCATTGGGTGAGATCCAGACCCGGCTGGTCCCACCCCTTTCAAACTCTGCTAGACAGGGACATAACCTCAGGTACCCATCATCGCACATGGGGTGGGAGGCACAGCCTCAGGTCTCCCAGTGCATGCTGGGTGAGGATCACAGCCACAGGTCCCCTGGCACACCCTCAGGCCCCCTGCCCAGCACTAGGGCACATGACCTGAAGTCCCCTGGCCTGGCACTTGGGTGGGGGACATGCCTTGAGGTCCCAAGCTCTGCCAGGCGGGGGGCACAGGCTCAGATCTCCTGGCTCAGCACTGGGACAGGAGGTGCACTTTGCGGGGTGTGCGGCCTGAGGTCCCCTATCAAGCCCCACTGGGTGGGGGATGCAGCTTCAGGTCCCCGGCCCTGGCCCAGCACCACACCTCCTCAGGTCCCTGATCGCTCTTTATGGGAATCCTGTCTCCGCTGTGGGCGCAGCCATTTGTGATGGTGTGAGGGTTAATTTGCATATCACCTCTTTATTATATAGGATTACAGAAAATGAGAATGATTCTATCCTACCTAATAAAAGAGTAATATGCAAATTAGCTATCACTCCACTCCACAAGCCATGCCACAAGCCAATCAGAGCTAGTATGCAAATAAACCCAACCAAGATGGCTACAGCCACAGAGAGCAGGAGGGAGAAGTTTCCCAGGCAACAGAAGAAGCCAAGCTTGCCGGCCTACACCTCCACTCCAGGGTACAAAGTTTCAATTATAGAAGGTAAATGAATTCCAGATATCAGGGCCTCACTTGGGTCGCTGGGGGGCGTGGCCAGCCTGCAAACCACCACAGGCCCCTCACCCAGGCCACCCTATGCCCCAAGGAAACCCCCACCCTGATCCTGGACACCCTTCAGGGCAAACCAGCTGGCCCCCACCCATGCAGCAGGCATCTATCCTATCTAATAAAAGAGTAATATGCAGATTGACCATCACTCCAACACACAAGATGGCTGCCCCATGTGGTCAAAGATCCTGCTCCCATGTGGACACAAGATGGCCAGCAGGGAGGGCAGTTGGGAGGCACCAAGTCTGCAAGGGAGGGCAGTTAGGCATAACCTGGCCAGCAGAGGAGGGAAGTTGGGGGCAAACAGGCTGGCAGGGGAGCAGTTATATATTAATCAGGCTGGCATGGGAGTGGTTAGGGGATGATCAGGCTGGCAGGCAGAAGCGGCTAGGGGCAATCAGTAAGGCAGGCAAGCAGTTGGAAGCCAGCAGTCCTGGATTGTGAGAGGGATGTCTGACTGCCCGTTTAGGCCCGATGACCTTCGGGTCTAAACAGGCAGTCAGACATCCCTTGAGGGGTCCCAGATTGGAGAGGGTGCAGGCTGGGCTGATGGACACCTCCCCCCCCCCCCCCCGCACCCATGCATGAATTTCGTGCGCCGGGCCTCTAGTATTGTCATCAAGCAGATCAATGGTTGTATGAGGACAAGAGACAATGAATGGTAGGAGGGAGGGGACTACAAAGGAACTTTTCAGGGTTGTAGGTATGTTCACATATCTTGACTGTGGTGATTGTTTCATGTGTGTATACATATGTCAAATTGAATACTTTTGAATATGTATGGGTTAATGTATGCCAATTACATCTCAATAAAAAGCATCTGGCAGATATGTTTAATACTATAATTGAAAAAATAACTGGAAAGATGAAAAAGCAAGTTGCAGAACACTACAGTCTTATTTTTGCAAGAGAATTTGTGCATATTGTTTAAGAGTATATGTAATAAAAGATTAGGCAACATGCACCAACTGTTAACACACACACACAAATTGAGTGATTCAAAAATATGTTGCAGTAACATTTATTGACATGCAAAGATATTCACAATATACAGATAGTGGGGGGAAAGCAAGTTATAAACATTAATTTACAGTATGATCTTGTGTTAAACTGTTTAAATGAATCTTTAAAACCAGTCTCTGAGCCTTCAATGCCACCACCTAAAAAAGTGAGGACTGTAAGGTAGCATACTAAATGTTAGGTTTTTTTAAAATAGAACAACCTCTATGGGAATCTAGGAAAAAAGTATTTAACCTCCCCAATTCTCATTGGAGATGATCCACAATGAGTTATATAAAAAAGAAATAACTACCAGTACCTAGTCTCACAGGACCATTGCCAAAAGAGGGGAAAAACTGTATAGTGCCAACACATTGCCTGACATAAGAGCAGGTACTCAGCAAATGTTTCCTCCTTATACCTACCTCTTTCTCTTCTGTGAAATGACCTTGACATAAATGAAATAGCCTAACAATGAGTTATAAATGTAATAGTGACATTTAAAAGTGAATCTTACATTTAACTAGGATTCAGGGCCATTTCTGGGTTGTAGAATATGCTATATGATGTAGGCAGAATAGGAGGAAAATGAATTCTTATATTAAACATAGAAACACCTACCTTCATGTTGAGAGTGTCATTTCACAATGAGTGTGCAAATGCAGTATGATCTGTTAGTTATCTTTTTGTGTGTATATGCCTTACTTCTGCAACTAGATTATAAATTAAGGCTTTTTTTTGCCATTTGAAGCCACAAATGGATCTAAGCAGATACTATTGAACAAGTTAGCTTACTTAGGATGAACTGGTTCACTAGTTTCTTAAGTAAAACGTTGAAAAGTGCCCCATCTACACAAGATAAAAATCAACATTTTCAACTCATCATGTAATAATACTTGTTATCCAAAAAAATGGTCTAGTTCAAACCTAGAGACTACCACAAATAAGTGTTAAAGATGTCATTTATAATGTGCACACTGTAACAAACAAAATATGCAAGGCTCTTTGAGAACAGACAGCCTATCAGAATTTGAAGATTGTTCTGTGTTCTATTTCTGGTTCATATTACAGCTTTTGAATAATCGCTTTAACTTCACGAAAAATGTCCATGAGTGTATTGTAATTAGAGTGATCGACAACTACAATTGTTCCCTTTCTGATATGCTCCTTTATGTTAATAAATATGGCCACAGTACTAACGAGATTGGCTTTTGCTTCTTTCTGGTGAAAGAGTAGTTTTAACGCTGCCAATGCCTTTATATCGATCATGTCTCTGGCTGCAACTGGGTTTTCAGACATATTCAAAAGTACTTTCAAAGCAAGATTTCTGGTTTTACGATTTCCCTGGGAAATCAAATAAAAAAGATCTGAAAGATAACAGGCAACAATATGGTGACGGTTCATATCAGTAGTCAGCTGCCCCAGTATTTTTAAGCCAGATTGCTGTCCAGGTGAATTCAAGGGAAAACACATGGTTTCCTTACACATATGTTTAACATGTAATTCAACCCTGCGGAGTCTTTCATCCCCAGTAGGGTTATTCACAGTAATTTCAGCATTTTTTCTCGTATCAGAGGGAGGAAAAGTAAGCAAGCTTTCAACGAGTGTCACTATACCCACCTCATTAATGAAATCTTGGGCAAATGGATGAACCTTAACGACCCCCATTGCAATTTGAGCTACTTTATGAATGAGAGGATCAGTAGTTGACTCAAGTAAGACAACCAGTTGTTCAAATTCCTCAGAATTCATGTAACATTCCATTTTGCAAGGACAAGCAAATGGCTTAATCCCATTCATCTCCCTGATCTTGATTTGGCGTCTAATCTCTTCTATAGTCTGAATGCAAGGGTCAGTACCAAATGGGTGCTCCGGGAGAGGCTCTGAGCATGAGACTATGCTCTTAGAACCCTCTGGGTCCTCAGGCAAAACAGGAGCTTTTTCCTCAGGTGAGCCCAGGACAATATATTGCGACTTTGTCTCAGATGTGCTTTGAGATCTATATCCTAACACTGCTGGAGTTACGGCAGGGGCATTGGGCCAGATCGTTACCTCAGACCAGTCCTTGGGCCTATCTTTTTCATTGATTTCATCCACAAGCAGGGGCCTAACTATTCTGCTCACAGGTTTAGGATCAGGGTCAAAACTAGTTTCATCTCCATCCCAAAACCAGTTCCCAATAACATTATCTTCCTCCTCCTCTTCAGCCCCTGGCGTAGCTTTATAGCTAGCGCTGGCCACAGGCTTCAACTTCTCAGCACAGGATGGGGGACCAGTATCAGCTTTATCTTCATCCTTGGCACTGGAACTATTATTAGTCTCTTCTCTATTCCAGAACCTAGAACCAACATTGGTCTCTTCCCCCGCACAGGTATCAATACCAGCCTTATCTTTACACATGGACTTGGTCTTAGCACTGACCTTAGCCACAGAACGACACCGAGACACTTGAGTGGCCTCATTTTCCACTTTGGGACTGAAATTTGCTGGGGCTCTCTCTTTCTTCTCAATAACAATCTTCTTCTTAGACACTGCCTTCACCTCTGCCACTGCATTTGCCTTCACCTCTGTCTTGGCCATTGCTTTGGCCTGGGTCTTGGCTACAGGTTTGCCTATGTCAGTAGCTTTCCTGCCAAGAGCTTCCCTCTTTGTTTTACCTTCTACACCAGCCCTTTTTGTAGTTTTGCCCTTGTTTCTTTTTCCAGCCATGGTTAAAGCCCAGTTGTATGGATAGCCCTAGAGAGTCTTGGCCTTGGTTCTCAAAGAGTCCCAGGTCAATATGTTGACACTTTCATGGGATCAGAGACAAACTTTGTAGCAAGAGTTAAGTCAACTGTCAGTTCAGCAGTTACACTGTTCCCTTTCTGAACACAAAACTTCTGTCAATGATACAGACAGAGGGCAGAGGCACTCAGACTAAGGGGAGATGATGGTTCCTGAGTGCAGACTTGCTGAAAGTGGTAATCTTCCACCACTCCAAGGCCACCACAGTCACCGCTGGAGACGGACCTAAGATGGAAGAAGGCAATGGGCTTTAAGCCTTTTCCAACTGTGCTCATCTATGCAGATAGCCAAACAGGACATGAGAGAGTAGAGATGAACTGTTTGGTAGGAGAAGTAGGAGTTACCTCATTTTATCCCTTCCACATTCCTACTAACGCCCAACATCCTGTTCAGGCACTACCACACTCTTCTCTGCATTAAATAGGATCAGGGATGATGGGAAAGATTGCTGAAAGAGACAGAGGCTACAAAATATCCAGTCCCTTTGGTATATACCAGTATACTATCCAGGTCTCTCCAGGTAGGTCTCACACCAACCTGCACTGATCTTCCTTTCTTGATTGCTTCCAGTGTTGATAAGCCCTACAGCTGAAATCACAGGCAAACCTATGGACAAAAACAGGAGGGACTGGAATTCAGTTTCAGTAGACAGACATACACTTTGGTGTCTAGACCCAACACCTAGGTATCTTTCCAGATCTGGGCTTTGGTTATACAGTTGGCCCTCGAACAATGCAAGGTTTGGGGCGCTGAAGTTGGAAATCTATGGATAAAGTTGGCTCTCCACATACATAGATTCTCATCCACAGAGTTGAACCGTGAACAATGTAGGTTTGAATTGCAGTCAGTAGAACTCTGTGGATCAACTCAATTGTGGTAAACTGAAAAAAATCCTCATCTAAGCAGACCCACACAGTTCAAACCCATGTTGTTCAAGGGTCAACTGCATGTTTCTGGCTTTGTCCTCCTCATGGTTTCCCTCCCCATTTCCTGGGTGTCCGTCAATTACCCTATAAGCACACTCATGTCTCACCCCTCCCCCATTTCCTAAACGTGAATGTGAGGGCACAGCTGTCTAGAATGCTGGAAGACTTTTGTGAGACTGCCTCTGCTCCATCTGTCTCACCCACTTCACAACCACAATTAATAGGGGTGCTCATGCTCACACTCACCTTGGATCCAAATGAACAATTTTGGTCTTCTTTCTTAATTAAATTCAAAGTTCAACAGCTACCTGCAGATTTCTACAGGATCAGATAAATGAATAAACCTACAGAGATAAACAGGCAGAGGAGAGAAAACAGAAGAGACTGAGATAGCCCAACACCCATGACACGTGTTACATGATTTTGTACATTCAAAGTCATGTTATATGTTTCCCATCTGTCTGTTCTTGCCCAATAATTCCTTATTCATTCCCCTAAAAACTGCAGTTCTCTTATTACATACATCTCCCAACTCTGAAGTCAGCCATTTTCCCAGCAGAGGCCACACTTCTTTTCCCTGAACAAAAATACGAGGTGCAAGAGTGGGTAGTGAAAATAGGCGATGTATTTAGAAAGAAGGCAGGAGAGAGAATGGGGACTATTCTTTCAATAGGATCTTTGCATGCCCCAGCCCTTTCTTCTTTATGCACACATACGAGTAGATGCTATCTCATTCACCACCTATACCAGCCAACCCACAGTAGGGGACCTCAGGAGATACTCTCTTTCCCACCAAAGAACAGTCCTCTAGTTAGAGATGAGTCATGCCAAACAGAAAGAGGGAGAAGTTTTCTGCAAAACACCAGGAAAATGTTGACAATAACAGAAAAATATCAGGTTAATGGACATATACCTAGAATTCAGGTCCTAACACCTCCTTTTCAAGAATCAGGAAATAAGTAATAAATGTCTCTCAGCACCCATGGTTCCTCAGGTACCCAGCTTTTGTGAGACTGCCTCTGCACCAAAATGACAGAGGCTGTGAAGGGTTATGGAGATGGAATTTAGTTTGAAAGGAGCAGACTGACTTCATACATTAGAAATGGACTCTTCAGAAAACTGCCCCCTCTATTCTGAACCGCCATTCCCTCAATATAGTAAAGTAGGCTGCGGTGTTGAGTAAACAGTTGCCAAATAAGAAAGGTGAATTAACAGCACTCTATTTGTTTATATGGACCCTTCCCCGTGAAAATCTATAGGCTTCTCAGCCTGTCATTTGGTTGAATTTAATTTGGTGCAAAATCTAAACACGGAAGGAAATAAAACTGCTGTATTAAGAGGCGGATAAACATTTCATTTTGGTGTATTCTTGATTTAACTAGAGTCTTGCTTTTGCTTAAAACTCCAGGCCTACCACGCAAACATGAGGCTTTGGCATCAACGAGGTGCCTGTGGGAAGGGAGAGCACCCAGAACGCAGGGCCCCAACAGGCCCCAGAGTAGCCTCAGCCATCGCCCCCGCCCCCGTGACCCCAGCCCCAGCCCCAGCTCCGGCCCCGTTCCCGCTCTGCCATTTCTCCCCCAGGACCCTCCCCGCAGCCCTCTCCCAGCACAGACACCCCGAAAAAAGGCAGCTCGGGTGCCACGAGAGCTGGCCGGGAGCAGACGCCAGGGAGTCACTCCGGCCAGGGTCCCAGCGCTGCACCTCCCCAGGGACCGGCTCCCGCAGCCCGGGGCTCCGCCTCCTCCCGGGGTGTCAGGGTCCGGACTCGGGCTGAAAGCTGGTGGAGAGTGGGGACCCTCCGCCCCACTTGCCTTTACAGGCTCAGGGCCCGGTGATCGTGCTCCCTCCTCTCACAGCTCCCCACTCAGATGCCCACAGCCTTCCGCCACCTTCCCAGCGCCTGGAGGTGCAGAGGCGGCCGCAGGCTGCAACAGAACCGCTGGCAGCAGCGAAAGTGTTGGGAAGGGGCGGAGGGATATGCGGGCGAATGGGCCGACGCCCCCCAGGCCCACCTAGTTCCGACCCGAGGAGGCGGGGCCGGCGGGGTGAGAGCCGGCCCGAGGGGCAGGTGGACATCACCCCCTACCTGGCGACCGCCCCGCTGCAGTGCCCCTCCGGGCGCTCCAATCTAGGGGGCGGGAGGGCGGGGGTCTGGGGGGGGGGCGGATGGGGAGGCCCAAGGAGCTGCGCTGGCCGCAGCAGCGGAAGGATACCAGCCGCCCTTGGTCTGTGTGAATCCCCAGACTGCTCTGACTGCCTCCTCCCTCCCCCAGCCATCCTTCCTGATGCTGAGGGGAGAGGAGGGGCTGTGGGGACTGCAGGCTGTGAGGGGGAGAGGAGAGCCAAACATATTTTAAATACCCTGATAATTACACAGGCTAAAATGGGGTGAATAGACCCTCAGCAAGAAGTTTTATATTAGGCTGATTAGCAGTTGAGCTGTGCCTAATGTTTGCTGCAGCTGTAGGTGCCAGTGTTCAGATTCCTCTGTGTTCTTATTTTTGTCTTTCTTATCTTTGGGCTTTCCTAATTACTCCTTGCAGAATCTATGCACATCATAGCTCCTTTAGCTGTACTCCACTCCTATTATACTGGACACTTGTGACATGGTAAAAATGTGTGAAATGTTCTATAATCTTACAATTAAATTCTAGTCCTTTGTGAGCCTGGTTCCCTAGGCTGTGTCCCTCACAAATATTTCCTAGCTTCTTTCTCCCTCTTACATGAAAATGGAAGACTACCCTAAGTTCACAGCAGCACAATTTATAATAGCTAAGATCTGGAAACAGCCTAGGTGTCCATCAGCAGATGTTTGGATCAGAAAACCATGGTACATCTACACAATGGAATACTATGCTGCCATAAAAAGAAGGAATTTTTATTATTTGCAGCAACCTGGATGGAATTGGAGAGCATTATGCTGAGTGAAATAAGCCAGTTAATGAAAGAAAAACACTACATGATCTTGAAATAGGATGAATTCAAATTCTAAGCAAGGTTACAGGCAGAACTTCCTTTTTTCATTAAAGAGCCAGCCCTATGTGCACTTAGTGGTTATCTCGACGCTGGCCTTGAAAAACAATGCTGTTCTATCCAATTTAAAAAAAAGTGCACCTGGCATGGTATTGAGATTGTGGGCATATCTGGTCTCTGGCCTGCAAGGTCAGACAGCTAAGTTTATCTTCATCATTCTTCAAATGGGCTAAAGCAAACTAGAAAGCAACATTTTATCTAGGAAGAACAGCAGAAAATTTCAAACAACAGTTTGTTGCAGAATGGGGGTTTTCCTTCTCAGAACCTTTAAAAATAACTACCTGCCCCTAAAGCGGCGCAGTTGTGTGGAGACCACCTGTGTGTGGTGCTCTCGCGTCTTCCCTGGCCAGATATTTCAATAAATTCTTTGCCTGCTTTTTTAAATTAATCATCTGCCTCTGGTGGTCTTATTCTGAACCCAGGGTTCAACCCCACAACAATTTCACTCATTTATGGATAATAAAGAACATTATAAACTGATGAACTAGACAATAAAGCAACAAACAGACTGTCAAATTACAGCAGTCAAATAACCAATGGACACAAAAGTCTGGGGGATGAGAGCATGAACCGGAGTGGGGGGGGGGGCAATGGTAAGATATGCCCTGTGCTGTTTATTACTATAACCTCAATACTTTGTTTTTTTGTGTGTTTTTTTAAATATATTTTATTGATTTTGTACAAAGAGGAAGGGAGAGAGATAGAGAGTTAGAAACATCGATGAGAGAGAATCATTGATCAGCTGCCTCTTGCACACCCCCTACTGGGGATATGCCCGTAACCAAGGTACAAGCCCTTGACCGGAATCGAACCCGGGACCCTTCAGTCCCCAAGCCGACGCTCAATCCATTGAGCCAAACCGGTCTCGGCAAACCTCAATACTTTGTAATACAGTGTTTTGCCTACAATAACCAACCCCTTACTAAAAGAACATCATTTTTGTATAAGTATGCCTCCTTTCTC